CTGAAATTATCTGTTTGCAGAAGACATGATTGTATACATAGAAGTCTCAATAGTATCCATGAAAAAACTTCTCGAAGTAATAAATGCATACAGTAAAGTGGCAGGATACAAAATTAACTTACAAAATTCTGTAGCATTTCTATATACAAACAACAAGCAGACAGAGACAGACTTGAAAAAAATAATCCCATTTACTGTAGCCACAAGAAGTATAAGATACTTAGGAATAAAACTAACCAAGCAAGTCAAAAACCTATACAAGGAAAACTATGAAAACCTTAAAAAGGAAATTGAAAAGGACACTAAAAAGTGGAAGTACATCCCATGTTCCTGGAGTGGGAGAATTAATATAATCAAAATGGCAATTCTACCCAAATTAATCTGCATATTTAATACAACCCTTGGAATGAGAGAGAATTTTTGTTAACTGTGCCTCATATAAGGGACTGATAACAAGAATACCCAGGGAACTCAAACAGCTTACCCGTAAGAAAATGATTGACTCAATTTAAATATGGGAAAGTGAGCTAAATAAACAACTCTCTAAGGAAGACATAAACAACCAACAAGCTTATGAAAAAATGCTCAACATCCCTTATTGTAAGGGAGGTACAGATCAAAATCACAAGAATAGACCACTTAACCCCAGTCAGAATGGCAAAGATTAAAAAAACAAATAATGGTAAGTGCTGGAGGGGATGTGGTGAAAGGGGAACACTCCTACACTGTTGGTGGGAATGTAAATTGGTCCAGCCACTGTGGTGAACAATATGGAAGTTCCTCAAAGACCTTCAAATAGAACTGCCATATGATCCAGCAATTCCACTCCTGAGTATCTACCCAAAGGACAGGAGAACGTTCAGTTGGAAAAGAGCTTGCACAACTATATTCAGTGCAGCATTATTCACAAATGCTAAGACATAGAACCAACCAAATGTCCACAGAAGATGAATGCACTGAAAAAGTGTGGCACATATACTCCATAGAATATTATTCAGCCATAAAAAAAGACAATAAGGCCCTGGAACTTGATAGAAAGTGGACAAATATGGAAGATTTGTTGCTGAGTAAAGCAAGTCAGGCTGTGAAAGAGATATTTTATATCTCCACTTAACGTAAACCAACCGTCCACACTCTATGGTAGAGACTGAAAGACTGGAGGACATAAAAGCATTAAAAATGGAAATGAACACTAGAGACAAAGTGGGAAGAGAGTGTTGGAGGGGAAGAGCATAGAAAAGGAAAATTGGGAAAAAATAGAGAGGAAAGACACTTATGGGACACAGATACGGCTTATTATCTGTTGACGAGGATGCGTATAATCTCAACTGGGCTGGACTGAGGTGTACATCGTACTTGGCTAAAGTCTTGGCACAATCTAAATGATGTATAGCAATTGAATGGATGAATAATAATTGTAAGCAAACAAACAATAAGAAAACTTTATGGCACCACAATTCATTATGGTTTGTTTTTGTTTTCTAGAATTTAATTGTGGGCAAATGAGAGGTGATTATTATAACTTTAGAGGTTTGGCAACTTATTTGGGGGTACAAGATGAGATTTCATTCACTGTCTGAATCAGAAGTTCATATTCTAGTCATTTGCTTCCCAGATACCAGCAACTACTAAACGATATCCACCAGTGCTACCTTGATCAGCGGGAGCTCCTTTTGGGCCCTAGTATTGCTTGTACTGTCACAGAGTTAACCAGCCAAAATAACAGGGATCACTGTGCCTTGGTAAGTTTCTGCTTGTTTTGGTTTAATGTTAAACCTTCTTCCTCTGAGCTATTTTGATAACCTAGAAGCCTAGGCCAATAAGTTTTGGATCCCATATCAACAAACTAAGAGAATGTTTTTCCACTATGACACATTTATCAGTAGTTCGGTCATTAACCTGATTCAACTTTGTAAAATAGTCTCGATTTTTATTTTTTTTTAAGTGTGAAGAATCACAAGTAAGTATTGTTTCTTGAAACATGGGGGTTCACAATTTCTGGATTTCTATTGACAACTTAATGTTAGCATTTGCCACAGAAGTGCTTTTATGTTTAGTGTGACGTTAATTCATACTATAGAAAGATAAGTGAGTAAAGGTTTTTCTTTTAAATATGCCCTTTCAACTAGAAAATATTTATGTTTATTATCAAGTTTAGAAAGTAAGAGTATTAAGAAGATAAAAATCTTATTTAATCCAATTCCATTATGTTGTAATACATTGAAAAACAGCCATTTTCTGTTCTTTAATAAGTTGTTTTATGAGGACAGCTCTATGGCCTAGTGGTTAAGGGAGCTGGATCCCATATGTCTGATGACATGGTTTGAATCCTAGCCCTGGCTGCTTGAAAAACATGCTGGGTCCAGGGGGACCAGCAGTTAGCGTAATGGCTATGTCGCTGGATTCCCATGTAGTCGACTGCGGTTCGCGTCCCAGATCCAGTGACTTAAAACTCACGCCAGGCACGTGTGCATGCATGCCCAAGATCCTGAGAGGAGAACGGAGGAGAAGGGATTGTGGCGTGGCCATCCCCCCTGGGGGATGATTTCTCATTTTCTGTCTCTCTGTTTCTCTGTGTCTGTCTGGTGAGTGCACGTGCCCTGTAGCAAAAACCTCTCCAAAAAAAGAAAAAAAAAAACCCATGGGACCAGCAGTTAGCATAATGGCTATGTCGCTGGACTCCCACGTAGTCAACCGTGGTTCGAGTCCCGGACCCAGTGACTTAAACTCATGCCAGGAGCGTGTGTGTGTGTGCCCAAGATCCCGAGAGGAGAATGGAGGAGAAGGAATTGCGGTGTGGCCATCCCCTCTGGGGGGTGATTTCTCGCTTTCTATCTCTCTGTCTCTCTGTCTGTCTGGCGAGTACACGCGCCCTATAGCAAAAACCTCTCCAAAAAACCCCCCAAAAAACCCAAAAGAAAACCACACTGGGTCCATGTGTGCCCCAAATCCCAACAGAATGGAGAAAGGACTGTGGCATGACCACATCCTGTTAGGAGGTGCTTTCTTTTCTTCTCTTTGTCTCTGGTGATCGCACATGCCCTCTGGTTAATTAAAAAGAATTTTAAATAAGTTCTATGAATAAGTATATATAATCTTTTTGCAAGTAAAGTATAGACTTTTATTTCCTAAATGTTGGAAATGTCATGTGTGTTTAACTGTAGGTGGTGTATTTGTTTATTACAGGTTCGCAGTGGCTGCGCCTTTATGGTCCACGTATGCCAGGATGAGCACCAACTTTACAATGAATTTTTCTCAAAGCCGACATCAAAATTAGAGTAGGTGGTACATGGAATCTGACTCTTGCTGATAAGATTTAATTTGGTCATGGCCATAGTAGATTCATACATGTTTACGAGGGGTATTGTGTAACTGCAAAGTGTCTTAATGTTTTTGTCTGGAATATGGATGATGAGACAGTGGCTATTTTCTTAAAAGAAATGTATAGTTTAAAGGCCAACATGCTTTTATGTTGTTTGTAGTGTAATTATGGAGACGTTATGATATGGTACTAAGAATTCTATACAGGGAACCAAGTCTTGGTATCTAGATTCCATTATCCTATGTATAATAATTCCTTCTAGTTAAAAAAGTCTGTAATTCTGATTAACGGAAGATACTTAGAAATGCAGATGCTATTTAATATATTTTTCTCAAAGTTTTGTGAGATATACTGTTAATCACTTGGTTTCTTTGTATTGGCTATTTTGACTGTTAGGAAGATTCTGAGATTATGAGTCTTGTAATGTAGAAGAGAGAAATATTTTGTGGTTTAGCCAGAGTGATCACTTTTGATGAAATACTGTATATAAAAGAGTACTCTTGGTTCCAACCAGCAGTGTGGTGGTTCAAGTAACCGGATCCCACATGGCCGACAGCATAATTCAAGTCCCGGACTTGATGTCTTGAAAAGTACTCCAGGCATGTGTGCATGTGTGTCCAAAATCGTAAGAGTGAATGTAGGAGAAGGGTTTGTGGTGTGGCTATCTCCTCTGGGGGGTTCTCTCTCTCTCTATCCAGTAAGTGTGCCTACCCTATAGCAAATTAAAAAAAAAAAAAAAAAAAAAAAAGAAGGGTACTATCGACAATGTGAAGAATATAGATGATTTAATTTTAAAATTCTTAGGCAACTTGGTATATGTCCAAAGGCCTTTTCTTTTCTTTTCTTTTCCTTCCTTCCTTCCTTCCTTCTTTCCTTCCTTCCTTCCTTCCTTCTTTCCTTTTTTAAATGCCAGAGGGCACACATTAGAGAGAAAGCGCAAATGTGCAGCCCTGTGATAGGGACAGTAATAACACAGTTTTTTTTCCTTCCAATTGTCTTTTCTCTTAGGATCCTGGGCACTTCTGTTTACACCCAGCATGTTTTTCAAGCTAGTGGGGCTGGGACTTGAACCTCGGTTGGCTATGTGGGATCTGGTTTCCTCTATGCAGTGCCTAACTGCTGTACTATAGGGCCAGCCCCCTAAGTACTTTGTTTTGTCTATCTAAATCTGTAAGTATTAAAGGATTTTGAACACATCTTTACTGTAAAGAAAAATACCATTTAACTCACAATGAAGTAGCATATAAAAGGTAGTTACATCTACTGAAATATTTTTTTGTTGTTTTCAAAAGGAGATGTATAAAATTATTATTGAAATAAATAAAAGTTGGGTTAGGTTGTTTTTTGGTCGGAGACAGCTAATATGAATTGACTGCTGTGGATTGCGCATTCATTCTGAGCTTTTAAAGCACAACAGTTTGCAGAATTATTTTTAGCCTTTCATTTCTCATTCTATAATGTTCCCAGATACTGTTTGCCTGTAGGTGTTTATTATTTTTACTGGCTAGGAGAAATCAATGAGGTTTCTTAAACTGTTAGAAAATTGTGTAAAGATTACTGCTAATAACCATGTTTTATTTTTTCAATTTAGTGAACTTTTGGAGAAACTGTGTGTGTCATTGTATGATGTCTTCAGGCCATTGATCATTCATGTCATTCATCTAGAGACTCTGTCAGAACTTTGCGGTATTCTTAAAAATGAGGTGCTTGAAGACCATGTACAAAACAATGGTAAGTAAGTAGGAGTGATATTTTAAAGGTCTTTTTAATTACATCTATAGCTCAATGAATTTGAAAAAAGTTGAGGCCTTCTCCCCTCGCCCCCTTGATATATAAGTTTAGTATTTGTGAAGCTTCGGTGTATGCTATGGTTCTTTGAATTAAGAAAAAGTGCCAATTAAATAGGGGAATAATTTTGCAATCTGGGCTAAATTAATAATAAAATAGTGTCACTTTTCTTTTTAGTATCTGGAATCTAGAGAGAACTGCGCCCTGTTGGGTTAGGGGTCAGGCATTTGTAGTGCACTGTTACCAGAATACATAAAGTAATTGACTCTATTGCATACTTTTTTTTTTTTTTTTGAGAGGTTTTTGCTAGAGGGCGCATGCACTAGCCAGAAGGACAGTGAGAGATAGAGAGATAGAAAGTGAGAAATCACCTCACCAGGGTGGATGGCCGCGCTGCAATCCCTTCTCCTCCATTCTACTTTTGGGATTTGGGGCATATACACACACATGCCTGGGGTAAGTTTCAGGTCTTTGGGTCTAGGACTCAAGCTAGTGTAGATCATGTGTATATATATATTTATATATAGTAATGATTCCTTGTTTTCAAAATGATAAAGCATTTTTCTGGATTAGTTCTACTTTATCCATCTGATGCATTTTTTTAAAAGTTCATTTATTTCATGATTGAGAGATACAGAGACAGAGGGACAGAGAAAGAGAGAGAGAGAGAAAGAGAGAGCATTCCCGACAGGATCATAATCCAGCAGTCCACCCTCAGCCTTAGCCAGCCTTGATCATGGATACCCTCAGCTCAGCAGCCTGGCATATTCAGGGAGGTCTCTTATCTTGAACTGGCACCCTGCCTTGCAGAGTGTTGTGTTGTCACTGCTGCACCCCCCGGCCCATGATAGAGTTCTTTAGTACTTGATTGTCATAGAGAATATGATTTTCCTAATGTTACTTAGGTATCTTTAAAAAAGTACCCTCAACTAATAATTTTTTTTTTTTTGGAAGAGTTTATTGTTCTCAGCTTTCATTAGGAGACACTATGGATTTGTTATCCTCGTAGTTACTCTACTGCATTTGGTTCATTCTAAGATGTACATTTTGTCACATTTTAAAAAAAGTTTATTCATTTATTGAGACACACACACGAGGACCTTTGACAGCATGTTGCCACACTGCAGTCCTCCCTCTAGCCTTCCAGTCAGTCAGGACCTGAACAACTAGTGTGTTGAGGTTGACTTGGGATCAGGACCCCTGACCTTCTCTTCTGGTTGCAGCATTGTGCAGTATTGTACTGCCCATTTTATGACTTTAATCCTTGGAAATTTAAAGTGATTTTTAAATTAATTTGAATATTTTACATGCATACATAGTGTCACTAGTACTAGCCAATGGGAAGCTGTTACTGAATTACTGGCGTGTCTTAACAATATTGATGGTACCTTAAAAATGAAGAATTACTATATAATCTCATATCTCATTTTATACTTTACCTTTTTTGTGTGTGAAAATGTTAACAAGTCATTTATTATCTATGGGATCCAATTTATTTGTAAAATGGCGTTGATAATAACCCAATTAATAAGCTGCCTCACTTTCTCTTTGATTTGGTTTGAAGCTATCAGTATATGAAATAACACTTAAAGAGCAGAAAACGCTCTTAAAATTCTTATTTTATTATTCATATTAGTAATAGAAATAATTCCACAGTGTCCCTGGAAGGTGGTAAGGGCAAATTTATTCCCCAGTTTAAAATTGAGGAAATCGAAAGGCATTATTAAACATTTCTAAGGTCACGAGTCATACTGCAATAGAATACAACCACAATCTCTGAAGCAAAAGTGGTTTCTACTATTTCTGAGTATTTTAGTAGTATCTTTGATTCTTTATAAGAAAATAGTTTTCTGAATCTGAAGGAATGGATGATTGTACTTTTTCTTATCAGCTGAACAACTAGGGGCATTTGCAGCTGGAGTCAAGCAGATGTTGGAAGATGTCCAAGAGCGACTTGTCTACCGAACCCATATCTACATTCAGACAGACATCACAGGCTACAAACCAGCCCCTGGAGATCTGGCATATCCTGATAAGTTAGTCATGATGGAGGTACGATTTTCTTAACTTGATCCCCTCCCTCCAACAGCTTTCAGATGTTTTATACTAGTTCAAATAGGATTTTTCTTTTTAAAATTCTCCCTGAAAATGTAAAATTAAGATAAACTTGCCATAAAAATCATAGGAAATACAATTTAAAAAAGTTTACAGAAATTATTTATTAGATTGTCTTTTCTTCAAGTTGTGTCTGGTATACTTTTTATTCAGTTCTTTCTCCTTTGCCAAGAAATATGCGTTCCTTTTTTTTTTTTTTTTAAGATTTTTGCCATAGGGTGTGTGTGGTTGAGAGAGAGAGAGAGAGAGAGAGAGAGAAAGAACTCATGCTCCAAAGAGGATGGCCACGGTGCAAACCCTTCTTTTTCATTCTTCTTCTGGGATTTTGGGTATGCATTCACACTTGCTCAACATGATTTTCAAGCTGCCAGGTCTGGGACTCAAACTGTGATCGGCCATGTGGGAGTCTGATGCCTTAATCACTAAGCCATTTGCTGGCCCATGCATTCCCCATTTTTAAATTGAATTAGTGCTCCCTGTGGTGTCTCTCTTTTAAAAATATAAGTAGTATAGAAGAGAGTGTCAATAACATAGGAGCTACCATAGATGATTTTCTTTTTTCTTTTTTTTTCTATATTGTCCATGTACTTGCTAGAAAGAGAGACAGGTGGAGGGAGAGAGGGAAAGTAAAAAATTATCCCCTGGGGGCATGGCCACACTGCAATTCCTTCTTCTTCAGTCTTCTCATGGGATTTTGGGCATGCATGCATACTTACCTAGTATGATTTTCAAGCCACCAGGTCTGAGATTTGAACCATGAGGTCAGTATGTGAGATCCAATGCCTTCACCTCCATGCCACTTACTAGCCCCAATAGTTGATCATCTAATAACCCTGTGTCATCCTTTTTTTTTTTTTTTTTTTTACAGGTTTTTCTATAGGGCGCGTGTGCTCTCCAGAAAGACAGAGAGAGACAGAGAGACAGAAAGCGAGAAATCACCCCCACAGGGGAGAGGGCCATGCCGCAATCCCTTCTCCTCCGTTCTCCTCTTGGGATCTTGGGCACGCACACATGCACATGCGCCCAGCGTGAGTTTAAGCTGCCAGGTCTGGGACTTGAACCGCGGTCGACTACATGGGAGTCCAGTGACATAGCCATTATGCTAACTGTTGGTCCTGTGTCATCCTTTCTTATAAAATTCTTGAAGGCCTTGTCTCAAAATCATATGCTAGTGATATCCATTTGATGGTTTGAAGACTTATAGTTTATCTGACTGATGTTTCACTTTCATTTGTACCTTTATTTTCTTTCAGTTGCAGACAGAGTTTAAATAAGATACTAGTGTTAAAACAGAATTAGAACTTTTAACTTTGTTTTAATGGAAAATTTTTAATAGAAGCAAATATAAAGGCAAAATACAATAAAATGTCATGTGCCATTACCTCAGCTTTGCATGATCACTCTTATTTCACTTATACCTCCTTTTTCCTGCTCTTCTCAAGTTACTTTTTTCATTTTTTTTTTTTTTTGGAGAGGTTTTCGCTATAGGGTGCGTGTGCTCACCAGACAGACAAAGAGAGACAGAGAGACAGAAAGCGAGAAATCACCCCCCAGGGGGGATGGTCACGCCGCAATCCCTTCTCCTCCATTCTCCTCTCGGGATCTTGGGCATGCACGCACATGCGCCCGGCGTGAGTTTTAAGCCATTGGGTCCGGGACGTGAACCGCGGTCGACTACGTGGGAGTCCAGCGACATAGCCACTATGCTAACTGTTGGTTCCCACTTTTTAAATTTTTTTAAAGAGGTTTTTGCTATGGGGCGCGTGTGCTCACTGGAAAGACAGACAGAAAGTGAGAACTCACCTCCCAGGGGGGATGGCCATACCACAATCCCTTCTCCTCCATTCTCTACTGGAGATCCTGGACACGCACGCATACGCACCCAGCATGAGTTTAAGCCACCAGGTCTAGGACTCGAACCGCGGTCGACTACATGAGAGTCTGGCAACATAGCCATTACTCCAACTGCTGGTCCCTCATCAGTTACTTTAGGGGAAATTTTAAACATTATTTCAGTTAGTGAATGCTTCAGTAGATAACTAAAATGATTGGGTACTTTATTTTTCATGGAAGAAAAACTTGAATTGCTATCACAAAAAACATTTGTGTGAAGTAGACATTGTTTTCAGTAACAATGATAGAGAATATGTTCTAGAAAGTAAAGGTAACTGTGTGTAAAGTCTGGCAGCAATTTAAGAGAAAGACCTTAAGATTAGGCTAAGAGTTGGCAACACCTAATGAGGATGAAAGCTGCTCCTGTGGGGAATTTTGGAGGCTACCTGAAGAAGAACTACATAGAGGGCACTTATATTTATTTAATTTAAAAGAATAATATAATTTTACTTTATTTATTTTAATTTGGCCAGAGAGAGAGAAAGGGAGAAAGCAAGCCGCCAGGTCTAGGACTCGAACCACAGTTAGCTATGTGGGAGAGTCCAGTGCCCTTAGTCACCACGCCACCTGCTGGCCCCAAGGGCACTTTTATTTTTAACACAACCATAATACAGTAGCACCTAAAAACATTTTGGTTCCTTAATTTCATCAACTATCCAGTTGAATCTAGAATATTTTTTGTATTGATCTCCAGTCGCCGATGTTTCGTCACATTTACTTTCTCTGTGTTTTGTTGCTGAACCATTTGAAAGTAAGTTGCAGACATCATACATCTCTCCAAAGTACTTCAGTTTTTATTCTCCTAAGAATATGAAAGCATTGTCCACATAACTGCGATACCATTTTTATACAACCGGAAGTTAACATTAATTTCAAAATACCATTTTTATATAGTCCATATTCACATTTCCCCAGTTGTTTTTCAGATATCTTATAGCTGGACCAAAAAGTGAAAAAAGTGGGCTGGTAGTCAGTATTACTGTGTGGCTTTTGGTTTTCATTGTCTCTTTATCTTTTTAGTCAAATCCACACTCCTTCCCTCATCCCCCTCTCTTTACCTTATTGTTTGTTTTGTTTTCTTTTTTTTCCCCAAGAGATCGGCCAATTTTATTGTAGAATATATTCCCCATATGGGTTTGTCCATTTCCTCTTGCTTAGATTTAGGTTAAACTTTTTTTTTTTTTTCTTTTTGCAAGAATACTATTGGTTTGTCTAAAATGTCAAGATGCATTTTTGTATAGAAAAACACTTCAGGACTTTTTTGATGACCCGACATATAGTTAATGTAAACTTCTAACGTTGTTACATCAAAGGCAAATAATGTCAGGCTGCTCCACTGTTGGCTAAGGTGGTGATTGCTGGCTCTCTTCATTAGTATATTTTCCCCTTTGTAATTAATAAGCAATTATGGGATAATACTTTGAGTTTATAAGAATTCTTCAGTATCTTTTTAGCCTTGATGATCCTTGCCTGAACCGGTTACTATGTTGGGAGTATCAAAATGGTGAATTTTTTGGGAACCAGCAGTTAGTGTAATGGCTATGTCGCTGGACTCCCACGTAGTCGACTGCGATTCGCGTCCTGGACCCGGTGGCTTAAAACTCACGCCGGGCGCGTGTGCGTGCATGCCCAAGATCCCGAGAGGAGAATGGAGGAGAAGGGATTGCGGCGTGACCATCCCCTCTGGGGGGTGATTTCTCGCTTTCTGTCTCTATGTCTCTCTCTGTCTGGCGAGCGCACACGCCCTATAGTGAAAATCTCTCCAAAAAAAAAAAAAGGTGAATTTTTTATCTTTCATTTCTTCTTCCTTTATTAGTTGCATTCTGCTATAAAGAATTCATTTCCCTTCATTGCTCCATTCCTTTCTTCTCCCCATGCCTGCTTTAAGTAACACTGTGGACTAGTAGATGTTCTTGGGAAGTCAGTATACAAGGGCCAGCTGGTTGCTTGGTGGTTAGGCAGCTGGATCCCATGTAGTTGACTTTGTGGTTCAGTCCCTGATCCAGTGGCTTGGAAATCAGGCTGGGTGCACGTGCATGTACTCAAGATCCCTACAGAAGGGATTGTGGTATGGCCATTCCTTCCAGGGGATACTTTCTCTCTCTTTGTCTTTTTCTGTGCCCTTTTCCCTCTCTGGTGAGCACATATGCCCTACGTATTCTTCTGCAAAAACTGGCTTCTCTGTTTTTTTTTGACATGTCTGTGTAATTTTAGAGTATTTGTTTTTTAACATGTTTATTTAGATGTTTATATATCACACAGTTCACTCATTTTAAGTTTGTGTCAATGGTTTTTTTCCCTATTTTCATACATAAATGCAACCATCATCATTCCCATTAGATTTAGAGCTTTTTTTTTTTTTTTTTTTTTTGTGGAGAGGTTTTTGCTATAGGGTGCATGCGCTCGCCAGACAGACAGAGAGAGAGAGAGACAGAGAGACAGAAAGCGAGAAATCACCCCCCAGCGGGGATGGCCACGCCACAGTCCTTTCTCCTCCATTCTCCTCTCGGGATCTTGGGCATGCACGCACATGCGCCCGGCATGAGTTTTAAGCCACCGGGTCCGGGACGCGAACCGCGGTCGACTACATGGGAGTCCAGCGACATAGCCATTACGCTATCTGCTGTCTCCAGTTTTAGAGCATTTTGATAATGAATCTCAAAAAGAAGCCCTGTTTCCTTTAGCTGTTGCCCTTCTACACCAACCCTTGGCAAACACTAATCTATTTTCTACCTTAATAGATTGTTCTGGATATTTCATATTAATGGAATCATATTAAATGTGATCTTTTGTGTGTGGCTTCTTTCCCTTAGCATAATGTTTAAATGGTTCATCCATGTTTTAGCATGTATTAGTACTTCATTTATTTATTTATTTTTAGAGAATTATTTTATTTACTTTATTTATTTATTTATTTTAATTTGACCAGAGTGGGGCAGAGAGAGACAGAGAGGGAAAGTGAGAAAGCAGGCCGCTAGGTCTGGCACTTGAACTGTGGTTGGCCATGTGGGAGCCCAGTGCCTTTAACCACCATCTCACCTGCTGTCCCCAGTACTTCATTTATTTTTATAGCTGGTTAATATTTCATTGTATGGATATATCACAGTTTACATATTTATTTTATAATAATAAGGATGTATGCACTCATTAGAGAGACAAAGTGAGAGAGATAGAGAAAGCACCCCTTATGGGAGACTCATCCCGCAATCCCTTGTCCTCCATTCTTCTTTTGGGATTTGGGCATGCACACACATTTGCTTGGCATGTTTTTCAAGCCACCAGGTCTGAGACAGACTGTGCAGTTGATCATGTGGGATCCAGTGCCTTAACTTACATGCCACCTGCTGGCCCAGGTCTTCCTTTTTATATGCTTCTACTTTATAGTCAAAGTAGATTAGTGGCGTTTTCATTACTCATTTAGTGGTCTCCTGTGTATACCCTGTGATATTCAGTAAAGAAGTGTTGGTTAATCTAGTCCATAAGTTATTTATTTATTTATTTTTGGAGAGGTTTTTGCTATAGGGCATGTGCGCTCGCCAGAAAGAGAGAGAGAGAGAGAGACAGAAAGTGAGAAATCACCCCCCGGGGGGATGGCCACGCCGCAATCCCTTCTCCTCCATTCTTCTCTTGGGATCTTGGGCATGCATGTACACGTGCCCGGCGTGAGTTTAAGCTGCTGGGTCCGGGACTCGAACCACGGTCAACTACATGGGAGTCCAGCAACATAGCCATTACGCTAACTGCTGGTCCCCATAAGTTAATTTTTAAAAAATTCTTTTAAAAATAGCATATTGTAGTTATTCTTACACACAGAAAAAGCCTGATATTTAGAATGGCCATTTACTTGAACAGAAGCAGCATTTCTGACATTCAGAATGTATGTCATCTTAAATTTGAATACTTTGTTTTTAGACTTTTAAGTTGAAAAGTATGCTTCTTGGGGCAGCAGGTGGTGTAGTGGCTGAGGTGCTGAGTTCCAGAACCGGCGACTTGAAACTCATGCTGAGTGTATGTGCCTGCCTGCCCAAAATCCTGAGAGGAGAATGGAGGAGAAGGGATTGTGGAGTGGCCTCTGGGGAGAGTGATTTCTCATTTTATGTCTCTCTCACTTTGTCTCTCTGGTGAACTCATGTGCCATATAGCAAAAATCTCTCAGAAGAAAAACAAAATATGCTTCTTATATGAGCATTGAATGCTTGACCCTTCGGGAGATAGCTTGTATTGGTTCTGAAATTAAGTGGAAAGGCAGTTTACGTTTTTATGAGGAGAGATACCATACTCATTTAACTTTTTAAAAATTTCCATGTGTTGTTTTTATGCCACAGTTATTATCAATATATTTAATTTTTAAATTTTTTTTTTTTTTTGCTTTACAGAAAGAACATGTTCATGTTGACAAATATTGCTGAAAACTGCACTTTAATGTTTCTGATTTTTCTATGCAGCAAATTGCACAGAGTTTAAAAGATGAACAGAAGAAGGTACCTTCAGAAACTTCATTTTCAGATGTTCGGTTGGAAGAAGCAGAGTCTAACAGTCTTAAAAAATCTGGTATGTTAAGACGTTTCTCCAGCATTTATTCATTCAATTAATAAACTTTTATTGAGGACTTGTCCTGTGGCAGACATGAAAAACAGCTTGTACCCTTGAGGAACCCACACTTTTGGGGTTGAGATTGACAAGCCACAGATACATAATTCAGTGTTGAGTCAAGGGCTTAGAGTTTGCAGAGGGCACCATGGAAGAGAGACATGAGAATTATGAAGGAAGGTAAGCTCTGAGAGCAGCAGTGTGGTGTGAGGTGTGGCACTTGAAAGCTGGACTGTGTTTACCAAGAGTGAGTGAGCCAGCTGAAGTAAGAGTTTTTAAGATGGAATAACATAAGCCGGCCCTGTAGCACAGGGGTTAAGCACTGTGCAGAGGAAACTGGATCCCACATGGATCAGGGTTTGAGTCTCAGCCCTGTTGGCTTGAGGAACATGCTGGGTGCATTTGTGCATGCCCAGGGTCCTGACAGGTTGGAGAATCAGAGGGAAAAGGATTGTGGCATGACCAAGCCCTGTTGGGGTTGCTTTTTTTCTTTTTCTGTTATGTGCTCACCCTTTTGTGTATTTGTCCTCTAGCGTTAAAACAAACAAACAAACAAACAAAAAACAACAACAACAACAACAACAAAAACAAAGGAGGATGGTATATAGGAATGGAAAACCAAGCAGTGATTTGGTATCTTTTGGTCCAGGATGTATGTAGGGATGGAAGAGAGATAAGAATAGGCCTGATTTTAGGTCTTCTGGCCTTTGAACCTGTAGCTAGTAGAGTATCAAGGCGATTGCACCATCAGTTTGCAGTTTGCATTCATATTGAGTGGTCGGGGTTGGGATAACAGACACGGGTAGCTTGGACTAGGCTGTGTGTTATGTAAAGGAGGAATGTTTCCGAGGATCACTCTGGTTACTCACAAAGGAAGGACCGAGACAACAAACTATTAGGTCATTGAGAAAGTCAGAATGTATTTTTCTAGGCAAAAATACATCATGACTTTCCTGACGACCCAGTAGATAGGAAGAAGGGTATCCTCCAAACCCCGGATGTCAGGTTGATTCAAAAGCTCAGTTCCCCAAGGGACTAGGGAGTGGGATAATGGGTTTAAAGAGCCCCAGCTGCTCCAAGAGCTCCAGATTTGAGCATCATAAGATATTCTGAATCAACTCTGTAAATAGCTGGTACCACAAATCTAGACTGCCAAGCAGCCTGGCTTCCCATCTGACAGAGCCATCTTACCATGTTTGCCCTTGAAATTTCCTCCTCTGCAATAGGACCCTTGCCATGTCTCTTGTACCTCCTGTTCTTACTGTACCTGGGTTCTAGCAAACCTCTTCAAGGATTATTGGAGAGACCAGAGTATATCTCTGTGCTGCCAACCTTGGCCTTATGCATTTTTTCTTCCTCAGTAAAGCCAGTTCTTTAACCCATGCCTGGAATTACAGTGAGGAATAATCCACCGAACTATAGCAACTGGAACAGGAGGTTGTGTTTTTTCATTTGAAAAATGAAGGTGGTTTGAACCAGGGTGGATGGAGAGACATGTAGAGGTGAGGGATTTGGTTCAGAGCTTGCTTCTGTTGAACTCGATGGCATGCTAGATGTGGGGGCTAAGGATGAGTTGAGTGAGGTCCATGTGGGACACCTGAAAGGACCTCTATTATTTGACTCTCCATCTGTGTTGTCCAGTCTGGTAGCCACTTGCTATTGAGTTTGTGAGATGTGGCTAGTCCGAATGTGCCCTAGGAGTTAAAATGGGCCCTAAGTGTGTAAAACACGCTCCAGATATCAAAGACTTAGTAAAAAATAAAAAAGAAAATGGATACTGTTCATTCTAAGTAGTATTTTTTATATTAGTTACATATTAAAATGATATTTTGGATATATTTGATTAAATAAAATACATGACAATTAATTTCAGACTTCTGTAATCAGTCACTCTACTCTCGGTCCTGGGCTGACTTCATATAAGCCCAAAGCATCAAGTACTCTTTGGTCTATCTGTACACTGATTCTCTGCTTTCTAGCTATGAAGCAATTCTTGTCCAATAGAAATATAATGGAAGCCACATGCGACCTGTTGAAATGTCGCATTAAACATAGTAATAGGAAGGGCCAGCAGGTGGCATGGTGGTTAAGGCACTGGAGTAGGGTTTGTGGAAGTCTGGGGAGAGAACCTTAGCAAATGTTGACTTTGAGGAACAAATGGAGATGGAGGAGTGAACTGAGCTGGTGGTGAAAGAACAGACAGCAACTTCAGAAGAGGGCACGTGAGAGGGCGGGACTGATGCGAGAGGAGGAGGGGCTGGCAGTGTAGTTTGAGTAAACAAGAGAGAAATAAGATCACAGAGATACCGTGGCTAGAGAGTGGGATACTACGAAGAGAGTCTATAGAAGGTAATGAAAGTGTAATCTGAAAGAAGGTAATGAAATCTGTGGGGTAGGAGTGTGAGGCGTGAGAATGAACTGTTTCTAGTTGCTGTGCAAATTACTGTAATACAGACACCCAGTGTGTCAAATGTGGTTTTTTTTTTTTTCCCCCTTTGGGCTATAGGTTCAACAGAATCCCTCAATCCGAGACCACAGACCACGATCTCCCCTGCGGATCTCCATGGAATGTGGTACCCTACAGTTCGAAGAACGCTTGTGTGCCTCTCCAAATTATACAGATGCATAGATGTACGTCTGAATTCCTGTTATCTTTCTGCGTCTTGCTTGCTCTTTCACTTGGAATACTTTCTCTTATAGATGTATGTGTGCAAATTCTGGTATTTTTATTGTGAGTTGCTCACTCTTCATTTGGAATTTTTAAAAGTTTAATTTCATTAAAAATATTGGTATTGTATTTTTTAGAGAATTCTCTTTCTTCCTTTCTTTCTCCTTCCGTCCTTCCTTCCTTCCTTTCTTTCGAGAAGGACAGAGCAAGAGAGTGAGGCAGAGAGGGAAAGTGAGAAAGCAACCTGCCAAGTCTAGGACTTATTCTGCGGTTGGCCACGTGGGAGTCCAGCGTCCTTAACCACCACTTGCTGGCCCCAATGTTGTATTTTTGTTTGATATTCTTAGAATGATGATTTTTAGATATGGAGGAAACTCGAAGGTCAGTCATTTAGGGATCTTTTTTTTTTTAGAGGGATTTTTTGCTGTAGGTCATGTGTGCTCGCCAGAGAGACAGAGAGACAGAGAGAGAAAGCGAGAAATCACCTCCGTAGGGGGGATGACCACACCACAGTCCTTTCTCCTCCATTCTCCTCTTGGGGTTTCAGGCACACACACACACACACACACACACACACGGCACCCGGCATGAGTTGTAAGCTGTTGGTTCTGGTACTTGAACTGTGGTTGACTACATGGGAGTCCAGCAACATAACCATCACACCATCTGCTGATCTCTAATTTAGGGGTTTTTATCCTGAGCATGTTATAGACCCATAGAATCTAGTATGCTAGCAGGCATTGAGGAATCTGTGAACACCTTGAAATTACAGGTAAAATTTTGTATGAATGTTTGTATTTGTATCTGAGGAGAAGGGCTAGCTTCTCCATAATGGCTATCCATAATGGCTATGTCACTGGACTCCCATGTAGTTGACCGTGGTTTGAGTCTGGGACCCGGTGGCTTAAATGCACGCTGGGCAAGTGTGCATGTGTGCCCAAGATCCCGAGAGGAGGATGGAGGAGAAAGGACTGTAGTATGGCCGTCCCCCCTGGGGATGATTTCTCGCTTTCTCTCTCTCTCTTTCTGGCAAGCACATGCACTCTATAACAAAAACCTTTCTGGTTCAGAAGAGTCTCCTGCTTCCCTCCTTGCCCCCATCCTACCTGAGCAGGAACTAATGTGGATAAATATGAATAGGATATTTATCACAGCTGCTCTCATACAGCAGAAATACTCTGTACCACGCAGTCCAGGGACAGGACGGTTTGTACAGTCGTTTTGTGACATCAGTAGACCCCACAGTACTCTGTATCTAATTTAAACTACATAGTTGCTGAGGTTTGTGCTTGGGGATTTTGGAACACAACCAGAGGTGCCTTTCACCCTATACTGGGACTTCCAGAGGTGAGGTCAGATGTCTCAGCCCTTTTGCTCAGCTAATGAGATCTCTTCCCGTCGGAGATAGAGACCTTGGTTCCTCTTCTTCCTCAGGTTCCTATGTACTGAATGATGGTGTTAAGCTGGGGTTCAGAAATTTCCAGCAGTGGGACCAGGATCCCAGGGGAAGCATGAAGGAGCCATATTCCACACAGAACCCATTGTCATCACAGATCCCTAGGAGAAGCCTCTTATGGTGCTTAGCAGGAATTTTAGCAGAACTTGGGTAGGCCTAAGGAGGTCACCGGGCCCATTCTTTTCCCACCTACCTTCATCCAAATCGTAGCCCTTTCAGTCTTCCTGATTCAGGAGAAAAAGATGAAGTCTGTGAGAAGCACATTAAGGCTGAGTGGGGGCAGGAGGGGGTCTTGGTCTAAGCTACTCCTCTTTAGCCTTCACAGTTCCGTGACATCAGCAGGAGACTGCCCCATCTTGCTGTCTCATGTTCGCCTCGGGGGAAATGGCAGAGACAGCACAAACAGAACACATCCAGTCGGAGACCAGGGGTTGTGGCCAGTGATAAATATCCTATTCATATTTACCCATATTAATTCCTGCTCAAGTAGGATGGAGGCAAGGAGGGCAGCAGGAGACTGACGGGAAGCCCAGCTTCACCAGCATGGCACGCCTGTGGGAAGATAAATGGCAGAATTAAATTAAGATTCATACTTCATATATTATTTTGTGACCTGCTCTTGCTCCCACTTAGTTATGTCTTATGTATTTTTGCCACCTCCTTTAGCATTTTAGCACTTTAGTTTGATTTCATGCGCTACGTTTAGATTTACTAGTATTTTGTCAGGCCCCCCCACCCCTGATCCTTGAACATTTATCATATTTGTAGTTTTTGGAGTTTAAAATAATTCTGAGGGACAAGATGGCGTAATGGTTATGTCGCTGGACTGTTGTCTTCTGCGATTTGAGTCCTGGACCTGGCAGCTTAAAATTCATGCTGGGGGCCAACAGGTAGTATGGTGGCTAAGGTGGCTGGACTCACACATGACCGATCATGGTTCAAATCCTGGACCTGGCAGCTTGCTTTCTCACTTTCCTTCTCTCTTACCAACTTCAAAAATAATAAAATAAAATAAAGACAATGAATAACATTAAATAAAAAGTAATTTTAAAAAATCACGCTGGGCACGTGTCTATAAGTGCCCAGAATTCTGAGAGGCAAGTCGAGGAGAAGGGATTGCAGCATGGCCATCCCCCTGGGGGGTGATTTCTCACTTTCTATCTCTCTCTTTGATGAGCACATGTGCCTGATAGCAAAAATCTCTCTTAAAAAAAAAAAAATCTGTGACGAAGAGCCACATGCATGAATCTCAAAGTGTGATATGAATTAATTACTTGGGATGAATATTTAGAAGTGAATTTACTGAGGGTGTGTTTTATAGCTGGTCGTAGAGATTTAAAAAGCAGTGCTACAGTATGGTATCCTGTTGGAGTGAGCGCCCCATGAGGTCCAAACTGTGCTCCTTTATTGTAATTCCCAGCATCTTGCACAGCATCTGACATGAAATAGGTGCTAGTAAATATTCATAGAAGGGTCATGTGCATTTGCAGAAATGAGCGTACATTATAAAACTGTGTTTTGGTCTAGAGAGGTTACATGGGATCAGAAAACTCCAGAAGAGATGGCACCCCGTAATGAGCTCATCTAACAGTGAGGAGGGCAAGCAAGCACTGCTTTTATCCTGCACTCACCTACAGCCTGCGATTTGTTTAAGGCTGCACTCAAGCCTATGATTTTCCTTTTTTTGTTTGAAGCGCCACAGGCTGATGCTTCTCTTTTGTTCCACCAGAGGGCAGTGTTCCAAGGATTGTCACAGGAAGCTTTGTCCGCCTGTATCCAGTCCTTACTGGGAGCATCGGAGTCTATCAGCAAAAACAAGGTTTGATGCAGTTTTAGGTGAAATCTGATTGATTCCCTATAGTAACATTGTGAGATACAACATTTATTATAGGCACAGAAATTTCAAGTGGTTTTGGAAGTAGAATTTAATATGATTGAATTTTTAGGCTCTTTTAGAAAAGCTAGTATTCATTATAATGTTATTTAAAAGCTCACTATATTAGAGAGTCTTAACTTTTGCTTAAAGATGGTACTATATGGGGCTGGCAGGTGGCACAGTGGATGGGGCACTGGACTTCCATATGGCCGAATGCAGTTTGAGTCTTGGACCTGGTGGATTGCTTTCTTACTTTCTTTCTCCTCCCTCTTTCTCTTTCTGTGTCTCTCTCTGATGAGCTCATGTGCCCTATAGCAAATTTAAAAATAAAAAGAATAATGAATAAATAAGTAAAAAATAAATGATACCATGTTATCAATTCTGTAGGGTAGAGGAGTCTTGTTTTAGCATCTGAGGAACTGGTGCTACTGTTTCACTAGAATACCAAGAAAGTGTTTTCAAGAAACATAGCAATTTATAATCATGTTTTGAGTAGGTGAATGGTTTCCCTTGGCGGAAACCAGCTAGTCGGTTTTGAAGACAGCCAATTGTAGCCATGGGGTTGTGTGACTAGAAGTATTGAATGACTGCGTGGCTTACAGTTTTGATCAAGGTAGCGTCTGGGGCTGCAGGCTGCTAGTGTGGGTTTCTCTCGTGGCCCCTGTTTTGTCTTCTTCAGAAAGTAGAGTATGGTCAACAGTGTTGATCTACTTAACTCCCCATTTAAATACCTGTCCCTTGAGGGAAGGCACCCTCAGGGAAAAAGCTGAGAAAGCTCCAGAATGCCAGCCATGATTTCACTGCTTCTTAAAGTGTTCAAATCCTGTGACTTTTATTTCTTTCTTTTTAAGATTTTTACTTATTTCTTCCATGATAGCGGAGGGAGAGAGGAAGAGAAGAGGCCGAGACAAGTGCCCTTGACTGGGTCTCACTATGCTATGATACCTCCCTACAGCTTCTCTGCTAGCTAGGATTGTGGGTGCATGTGGACATGCTTGGTAATGCTTAGGGCAACCTAGGATCTGAACCCTGGCCTACTGTGTGGCTCCAGTATTATGCAGAATTGTGCTACTTGCATGTGCTACCACAGGTGGGCCATGTGAGCCATTCTTGACTTCCATATTGACGAATTTGATTTCTAACTTCCAAGGCCTTAGATCTAAAGAAAAAAAGGGGGGGGGGAAACAGCCTCTTCTAAAGGAATTTGGGGCTTTTTCGCTAGAAAAGCTCTACCTGTGTTTGTGACCACCGTATTTTCCCATTCTTGAAATAGAGAGTTGAAATTAAATTTTAGCACAGGGACTAAGAGAGGACAGAAAATAAAGTTATAGACAGGCTGAGTTAAGTTTTTCCAAGTCTAAGCTCTCACAGTTTTTCATAGTAGGTGAAATTAAAAAACACATGTCTAACATTAGGGAAATGGCTAAGTAAATTGTGGCACACTTCATGTAGTGAAATATTGCATAGCTGGTAAATTTTTACTTTTCTTTCTTTTTCTGGAGAGATTTTTGCTATAGGGCACGTGTGCTCACCAGACAGACAGAGAGAGACAGAGAGACAGAAAGCAAGAAATCATCCCCCGGGGGGATGGCCATGCCGCAATCCCTTCTCCTCCATTCTCCTCTCGGGATCTTGGGCACGCACGCACATGCGCCTGGTGGGAGTTTAAGCCACTGGGTCCGGGACTCGAACCGCGATTGACTATGTGGGAGCCCAGCGACATAGCCATTACGCTAACTGCTGGTCCCTATAGCTGGTAAATTTTTAAATTAATAAAATTCAAACATGTTAAGGCAGAAAATAAAAAGCATGATACAGGTAAGATATTCAGTGACTTTGTGTAATAAAAAATATATTGAAGAAAATATGTAACAGCTAAAACTTTTGGGTGACTGGGGAAGATTTTCCCACTGTTCACTACATGTTTCCTTATTTCCCAGATTTTCTGCAGTGAGCATGTATTTCTTAGGTGATTTAGAAGAGTAAAATGGACCTTATTAAGAAAAAGTTCATATTCTTGGGACCAGCAGATGGTGTAGTAATTATGTCTCTACATAGTCGACTGTGGTTTCAATCTTGGACCTGGTGGCTTCAAACTCATGCCGGGTTTGTGTGTGTGTGTGTCTGTACATGCCCAAAATCCGAGAGGAGAATGGAGGAGAAGGGGTTGCAGCCATTCCCCCCTGGGGCTGGGTTCTTGCTTTCTGTCTCTCTGTTTATCTCTCTCTCTCTGGTGAGCTCATGTGCCCTATAGCACATATCTCTCTTTAAAAAATAAATGTGCCCTATAGCAAACATCTCTCTTTTAAAAAAAAGAAAGAAAAAGTTCATATGCTTTTGTCCTCTTGTTCCATTGTCTTCTCTTTCAGAGAAGAAGGAAAAGTCTTTGGCTTATTCTTTTGCCCTCATTATCTGTAGGCCAATTCTGTTTTATGTAATTCTTTTTCCTGCACATTACTAGTTTGAGAAATCCTTCAACTTCATAAATATTAGCTTATTTATTTTCATGGTCGAGTTTGTATACTTTTGCCTTTCAAAGGTTATCTGTAAAAATGGCCTAATGTCTTAGAGAGTTTTTCACATTTTTTTAAGGGAGAAAATTGTTCTTATATTCATAAATGAGCCATCTGTCAGTAAATTAATAGATACTAATGGCTGTATTTTAGTAAGTAAAATCTGTACGATGCATGATACTGTTTTTGGCATCAGAATTGTTAGTTCTTTTGCAAACAGCAATATTAAAAATATGTTGCTTTTCCTTTTTATCTGATGCTTGGTGTTCTAGAATGCAAAGTGAGTTGCAGTCGCATCAGTCATGTTTATATTGATTATGTTTACTAAAGGGGGGGAGAAAGACTATGTATATAAGAGAAAGGGAGACAAAGGCCTTTTGTTTAATGAATTAAGAATTTATATTGCTTACTAAAAATACCTTTACATTACATCGTATTAGAACTTTTTTTTTTTGAGAGGTTTTTGCTATAGGAGGCATGCACTCATCAGAAAGACAGAGACAGAGAAACAGAAAGCCAGAAATAACCTCCCAGGGGGATGGCCACATTGCAATCCCTTGTCCTCTGTTCTCTTCCTGGCATCTTGGGCATGCCCGCACACACGCCCGGCATGAGTTTAAGCCACTGGGGGTCCAGGACTTGAACTGCAGTCGAACTGCAGTTGACTACATGGGAGTCCAGCAATGTAGCCATTATGCCCATCTGCTGGTCCCATATTAGAACTATTTTTTTTTTTTTTATACTTTGTTTTTTATTATAAATTTTTTTTCTCATCACAACACACATATGAATTTTCCATCCAAAATACACTGTGCATTGGCTCAATCAAGCACATCAACATACATGTTCTCGGCAGATGATTTCCCAATTCCCGTGTCCTGCAT